ACACTTATTGATTCAAATAAGCAGCGAAAAGCAAAAATTATTTCCAGAACTGTTGTTGGAGTCAGTGCCACTGTCAACAGCATCTTTGCATAGCATCTCCAAGCAAAGGAGAGTGCTCCCACCAAAGCAGCAAATTCCTCTGAACAGTGAGACCCTTACATGGACAAGCACTTATTAAAAGGAATTTCTACTCTGAAGTTTCCAAACAACCTTAGTATCAGAAATTACACTTCAGTTTGTGCATTTCTCTCCGCTTCTGAGTTCCTGGGTTTACATGCACAGCACAGGTGCATCCCAGTGCCATCCATACCAAGGTATGAAATCCATCAGCTCCCATCCAGGATCTTGTTTTCACAAGAGCCATTTGGCTCTAACCAAGAAAACAGAACATTTCAGGCAGCCACATGTGAACTTTGCACATATGCACAGCAAAACCGACCATTTTGAAATAAACAATCATAAGGCTCCTTTCTTTGCCACTTACGAAACTGCCAAATAAAATTCCTGAAACCAAGAATTCCCTGGGGACTTAACACTGTAAAATGCAAATAGCTACATTTAGAAGAAACATGTTCTCAGCGGAAGTACAGCAGAGAACTTCAGAAAAACAAAGACAGTTACAATATTCCATGGAAGTGTTATAAAGTACACTCGAACTGCAGCACAGCTCTAACCCTTCACAGAATTTGCTCAGGATCTAAGAACAATTCTGGTAATGAAGGGAATCTTGTGTTTGTCTGTAACCTGGTTAGAAAAGCTTATCAGAAGGACACAGACACAGCAATTACATACTCAGGAATGATGTTAAATACCCTTCCATAGAAGAGATTCTTACATACAATCTTGCATACATTTTCCATAGAAAAGATTCTTCTTGCTGTCCAAGGAGGGTGGGTACATCTGAAAGGAGCAGAGTGGCACGTACTCCCATGACATAGTTGGGATTTGGAAATAATGCATGAGAAGTACCTCATAAAATTCCTTTTTTTTTTTTTTTCTAAATGGAAAAATGTTATTTTTTTCTGTATCTTACAATCTTAGTAACTCAAAGAAATGGTGCTTCTAAAACTTTCCAAGAAAGGTTAAGGAGTGCCCTACAGATTGCCCAGATTGCCTCTCACTTCATCATTATAAGGATGATTCTCTCCCTTGAAAAGCTTCAAAACTTTGGCATAAAACAGAAGTAAGACTGTTGAAAAAATTCACTCTGATTTGCAGTCAAGAGGTTATACTAATAAGTTCACATCCCCTCATTAACAGTATTTAGACTGTTTGGACTACAACAGTATATTTTATACAGGGAATTTTGCTTATTAATTACTATTTATTAGTTTATCCAAAGCTGAATTCACTGTTAAGATTAATTCTGCATTTCTATAGATGATCTCCAGAAGATTACTAAATAAGCTTTTTAGTCACACAATTTCTGCAGTAGCATTATCTATTACATTAATGATCATCAGCTGCAACAAAAGGTAAAAAAAAAAAAAGTTACTCACTTGCTCCTATTTTTTTCTGATCTGGTTCTTTTTCAGGAGAAGAATAAGGTGGCAGTATTGCATTTTGTTCTTTAAAGAGCAGTGGGGTTGATGCCAGCTGACTGTATGTAGAGGGTTTTGTCCTTGGAGTTTTAAAAGCTGTTTGATCAAGCCAGCCAGAGGGTCCATCAACCTCTCCAAACGATTTGGGCTCATATGGAGGTGCTTCTGCACTGAGTTCTTCAAACCAATTAAGACTGATTGGTCCTAAATCTACGAAGGAAAGCATACATAAAACTGCATGGAAAAGGAATAAGGTTCCTCCATGGAGGATGTGAAAATACACCAAGCATTTAAATGATAACAGCAAAACACACTGCTCCTTCCACTGCCATACTTCTGGTTTATTTGTTTCTAGATGGCTTTGAACTCTGATAACCACAAAATATAAAGGGATGTCTGCCCAAATTCTCAGACCATTAACAAAATAACCAAAGGACCAGAAAAACATTCAGGTTGTTTAAAATTACAAGTATACCCTGGCTTTTAGAGTCTCTCTGGTTTTGCTCAGACTGGCAAGTTAAACAGGTTCCTTTTAAAATTACTAACAAGCACAGGTGCATTTAGCAAAAAGGCTATGCTTGGTCTGCATGTGGGTATGTATAGAGGTGACAACTCTGAAAAAAGTAAGTACAAAAAGTAACTAAGCATACATCAAGGAAAAAAAAACCAACAGATAAAAATTAGAATACATCTTGGTATTAGGAAATACAGGTTTGGGGCAAGAACAGCAGCTAACAAATTGCATAAAGCTTTCCTGTGGAACATACAGCAAATGTGTATAAAATACTGGTGCCCAAAAAGCAATCCTAATAAGAATTATTTACTTCAAATAAGCTGTACCTGATTCACTGCAGTGTGCCTTAAATATTTCAAAGAAAGTTGGTCTTTCCACAGGTTTGCAAGCCATTTTCTTATTCATTACATTACTGGAACAGTTGAAAAGCCTGAGAAGGAAGAAAACACTTTCACACACTGCTGTTTGAATGTCTTAGGCCTGCTTTCCTGTGCTTTGTGGTGTGCCACAGTCCAGCTTGTTTAGCTTTGACTGTGATGTGAGCATTTAAACACCTCAATGATGAACATGGTGGGAAAACAACAGACAAGAGCACAGGGAATTACACCAGAGATAATGAAAACACCCAGCAAATACAGGAGAAAACCAAGATGGAATAGGCAGGCTACTTCCGAGGTATTTTAAACACAAATCAAAACCCCACATTCACTACAATGTATTAGGATGGAACTATCAGATATATAGTCTTACAACCATTATAATTTACATGTCAAGAATTTGATTCAAAGTTGTTTTCAAGTGGAGCAGACACTGCCAGTTTCACAGTTTATTAAAAAAACATGTATAAATAAGCCCATAGTGAGATTTCACCGTTTAACACGTTTATGCCTTCCACAGTAAGAGCTGTTTCCCACAGACAGTCGTGTTACACACGCTGCCTTACCAAAACCACGGGGAGCACGGGCGCTTTAAAACAGGGTACGGGCTGCACTGAGACAGAACACTGAGGAACGTCACACTGCCTCAGTAGTACATTTTGAAAGTGCGATTTGACCAGTCCGCGCTGCTTTCCGTGAGGGGAAGCTCCTCCCGGGCAATGCCCACGCACGCAGCGCGGCCTGTGCAGCCCCGCCGGGTCACCGCGGGGTCTCCGGGGACAGGCCCAAACCCTCCTTCCCCACACCCGGTGACTGCAGACCCCCGGCGGGCTGTGAGGAGAGGGAGGGACCCCTGAGGGGCGGCAGTGACACTGGCCGGGTTCAGCGCAGCCCCGCGGCAGGGCCGAGCCACACGCGGGGCCGTTACCTGCCGGCGGCGCCTCGGGCGGGTTGGCGGCCGCAGCATCGCCTCACGCAGGGGAGCGGGCGAGCCGGGAAGGCGGCGAGGGATGAGGGGGCAGCGCAGACTGCCAGCCCCGCCGCCCCCTTCGAAGCTTGGCGCCAACACAGCCCCGCGCCTGCGCACCGGGAGCATCCGCCGCTCCCGCCCTCCGCCGCGGCACCTCCCGGCAAGGAGGCGGCGAACCGGCCCCGCCTGGGCCGCGCCGGCCTGCTCCGTGCGGCGGCCGGGGAACGCGCGGTGCCCACTGTAAGGGCTGTTCCCCCGAGGCTGACTCCGCACGGTACAGAAAGGGAGCGTGCCCTGAGCCGGGATGGCCGCCAGCAGCTTCACTCCCGCGTGTAGAGGCGAGGGGATGAAGTAGCACATCCAGGGCTGACAGGACCCTCGTTGCTGGGCAACAGCAGCTAACGCCGACCTCCCGGGAAAAGGCTCTGGGAGGCTCCCAGCACGTGGGCAGGGCCGTGGGCAAGTGCCGCGACCTGTGCAAGCCTCAGCCGCTTTTGTAAGCCTTGACACATGAAATGGTTGTTGACGTTCCAATAAAGAGAATGTTACTATCCTCCACGTACATGTACGTGCATTCCCACTTTGTCTCCTGATTAAACTCTTGGCTATGGAACAACTTCAAGATGAGTGGAACACTCCACCACCAACTTTGAGTTTACCATCTTAATTTTAGTGTGATGTTCATCTATTCTTGTGCCATAAAGAGGTTTCTTCCTACCTCTCCACACTAGTCCTTATGCTGAGCAGTTTTATCACGTCACCTACTTAGTCATCTGTCACTTTTGTCAGTTTCTTGTACCTTAATTTTCCGCATCACTCCTCCTTTGAAGAAATTTTCATTTCTAACCCTGGAGAAACCCATGGAGGTGTAGTAACTTTTTTCCCAAAGCAAATTAGAGGAACCCAGACTGCTGGTTTAAATAATGGCATGTAGTTTCCAATTTGATTTCCATCCCCATTGAAGCCATTCCCAAAGCTTCAAAACTTAGTCTTTTTGCAGCCACTAAGTTGCAGTCATTAAGTTTTAACTTGGCCATCTTGGTACCCTATTTTTTGCTTTGAGTTGATACCAACAGCGCTTTGGAAACCCAATCACAATGTGAAGCCTTGAGACATGTTTCTTTTAATTATGATTAATGTGTTTCCTGAATGTTAACTTCTTTCTGTTCTGTAAAAATGCTGTTTCTTACTTATTTATCTCAGACACTTGACAGCATCAGATACACTGTGAACATTTAAAGACATCATCCCTATCAGGTCTCCTGTAGCCTCTCTCTTGCTGGCCCATTTAATTTTAAAAAACAATGCATTTATAGAGATGGTGAGGAGTCATACAAAGAAAGGATTTCATATCACAGCAGTTTCAGGGATTTAAGAGTTCTCCAGTCTCCAAAGGCTTACATACGCAGTTTGGTTGATTTAATTACATTATTTTAACTATATTATCTTAAAATTGAACTAAAGTGATATAATTGTGGAAGAAGGACTATTAGTCTAATATGCATGTGCTTCTATTACTTGCTCGTTTTGCTAACACTTACTTCATTATACAGGTATTAACCAGCTGCTTTCCCTTACTTCAGTTTGTACACACAAGAATGTTCCATCTTTTCCTAAAACCGTTGATAGAAAAAGTTCCAGGTAGAGAATCCCAAAGTAATGGAACAAGGAGGATGCTGTTACCTTTTAATACTGATAAACCCTTCTTTTCAGAGATGTAATTGCCTGAATTCTTTGCTCAGCACCCCGGGAGACACCCAGTTTACCTGGACTTTGTTAGTTTCCCAAACCCCCTTTTCCTTCTTTTCAGACCATGAGCAGAAGGAACTGTGAGCAAGCAGGCTGCTCCTCGCTATGCAGGCCGTGGTTTTCCAGCTGTGGCTGAATGACATCTCTTCATCAGTATAGTCTGGCACACAAGGAAGGCAGGCCAGCCGGCCTTCCTTGCCATCAGCTCCCGCTCCCCCAGCTGGCCCCACTTTCCCCATCAATTAGCAATCATCAGCTCCCCAGGTAAGATAAAAGCAGGGCAGGGGGACAGGCTGGGTTGACCCTTCAGCGGCGATAACCATGGACAGCTTTGTCTGCTCCCCCTTCAGCACGTACCAGAACTTCAGGAGCAGCCCCGCTGTCGGCCGCGGCTGGGACACTGCGGCCAAGCAGCCCAGCTGGAAGCAGAGCAAGAGCGGCAGCATCAGCCCCTTCCTCGGGGGGCCCTTCACGCCCCTGCCCTCCGACTACCTGGACAGCTACCGGCGGGCGCAGCTCCAGGCGCTGCTGTCGCAGGTGGGCCCCGCGCTGGGGCCGCGGCCGCGCCGGGCCAGCACGAAGGAGGCGGCGGTGCAGGTGAGCCTGCGGGCCGACGCGGCCGTGCAGTGCTCGCTGGGGCCCCGCACGCTGCCGCCCGCCCGCGCCCTCAGCCCCGCCGCCCTGCGCGCCCCGGGGCGCTTCGCCCTCTACTCCCCCGCGCCCGACCGCCGCCTCTTCGCGCTGCCCGACGCCGCGCCGCCCGCGGAGAAGGCAGCGCCCACCGAGGAGACACCCAGGGCGGACGGCGGCGAGGAGCAGCAGGAGAGCCCGGAGGGGGCTGCGCTGCCGCCGCGGCAGGAGCCGGTGGGGACGCGGCGAGAGGAGACGGCGGCTCCCAGGCAGAGAGCTGCCTTCCAGGTGCGCTGGGATGGACGGGGGGCGAACCCTCAAGCGGGGCGGCCAGAAATCACCTCATGAGCAGCATGGTCATTGTCCTGCCCTGGGCTGGCTCTGTCTCACCTGGAGCAGAAGAGCCTCCAGCCTGCAAAACCCCACAGGTGTGGCTCAAAGCGCGGCAGAATGGTTTGGGTTGGAAGGGCCCTTAAAGATCATCCAGTTGCAACCTCCCTTCCGTGGGCAGGGATGCCACCCACTAGACCATGTTGCTCAAAGCCCCACTCAATAAGGCTTCAAATATTTCCGTATGGCCTCCTGGGCAACCTTTTTCAGTGTCTCACCATCCTCGGGGAGCACTCGTGAGGGAGCTGGGCTGGGTGTTCTCAGGATGCTGCTCAGTGAACTTTATCTCTGCAGTTCTTGGAGCAGAAGTATGGCTATTTCCACTGCAAAGACTGCAAGACCAGATGGGAGAGTGCTTATGTGTGGTGCATTTCTGGAAGCAACAAGGTAGTTAACAAGTAATTTCTTTCTCCTGAGACCCATAAGAATGGCATAAAGTCTCTGACAAATGAGATGTTTGGGCGTAAACTTAGGTACCTGTACGGAACACCTTGAGTAAGTTTCTATACTAACAGAACTTTCTTTTTTCAGGTGTACTTCAAGCAGCTCTGTCGCAAATGCCAAAAGAGCTTCAATCCCTATCGAGTGGAAGCAATCCAGTGCCAGGTAAGTTAACTGTACTCCATTAAGACTGTCAGATGTTATCATATATATATACACTGATATTATTGTTGAATTTGACATTGACTTTATCTGGAAGAAAACTGGATTTCATCAAAATACTAGGAGGTGTTATTTGGGAAATGTCTTACAGTAGGTTTCCTTCCTCCCCTGGATGACTTACATAAACAGTTTTCATACAGCATTATGGCTTGCTGTGTGTATGGTAGGGTTTTGTGCTTCTGGGTGAGAAAGCTCTTTCACCTTAAATCCACAGGGTTTTTAGCACAAGAGCTCTTAAGTGCATCAGCCCCAGTGCGTTGCTGTGATTAAAGAAAACTGAATGTTAGTCTAATGTGAAGTGCATCCTCTTTGATCTACTACTACTAACATATCTTTGTTCCTTAAGATCTGTTCCAAGACTCGTTGTTCTTGCCCTCAGAGGAAGAGACATATTGATCTCAAGAGACCTCATCGCCAAGAACTCTGTGGCCGCTGTAGAGGCAAAAGGCTGTCCTGTGATAGCACTTACAGCTTCAAATACATTGTCTGATCCATGTGCCGTCTTCTGTTTTGTTCTTTGCACTTTGTCTATTGCAATGTTTTGACTTAAGGCTTTTGACCTGGCATTGGATAATGGATGAAGACTTTGGCATTATTGTAAAATATAGTAATTTAAAGTATGTAATTTCACTGTATGCATCCTGTAAATAAAGTTCCATAAAAGTTTGCACTAGTTTGATACCCCTTAGTTTTCATCTTCCTTAGATGAAAGAAGAAAGTATATCTGTAAGGAAGCAACCTATTTAATTTCCTAAAGATAGTAAACTTTGTTTTGATGTCTTCAGGACATGCTACAATAAAAAAGATTTAAGCTTAAGTAAGATTTTTACACTAGCAAGTTTTTCTTTCTGTCACTCAAACTGAACTAGGGGGGAAGGTGCAAATTGTCTGGAGCATAAAGTCTGGTATAAATGCAAATCTGTCTTCCTCCTGCCTCTGTCAAATGTATATATAAAAAACCACAGCTGCTTGGTAACCAAAGATCCTCTTCCAGAGGAAGACTAGGGCTGCAAAACAGGAAGGAAAAGGATGTAAGCTACTAATGTTTGAAATGAGGAGGGGAAAAAAAAAACCTCTTGAATGCCTGTACCTGTGATAGTGTAAAAAATACTCTTTAGGGTAGAAGGAAGTTGGGAGGTTTTCACAGTCAGTGGAAGACCAATTAGACTACTTTTGCTGTTGTAATTGTCCATGCTGAGGTTTTTTTTGTTTGTTTGTTTTTTTGTCATGCTGCAGTTACATTTCTTGTTATTATCTATGAATGGTCTTAGCATAAACCAGGAGCCAAGTATCTTTTGGGCGGCTGCTGATCATGGATACCATGTGCAACGGAACTCATTCAGATAAGAACACAATGTTCACAACAAGCACGTACTGTGTTGTGATTATATATGACTTTTATACTTTAGTTAAATGGATGTACTAATCCAAATTTCAAAGTTACTCCACAAAAACAGTTAAGTGTATTTACATTGTGAATAAGTTACATAGTTGTCAGAATAAAAGTGTCTCAGATGTGCAACAGATTTACATGCATACATTTAACACTGGACAGCAGTTAAATGTAAGAAAAAACATAGTTATGACTCATATATACATTACAAATAAAATAAGACATCTCTTTGAACAAACTTAACATGAGAACTTGCATTTCACATTAATATCTTTACTTTTTATGCTGAAAATTTATATTAAATAAAAATATGCATGCTTAACAGTTCAAAAGATTTGACTCTGTGATGGGACTTTCTTCTACAAAATGGCAAGTTAAATTATATCTACCATCCTTTAATAGTATAAATATATTCATAAAAGCAAATCTCTAGTAAAAAGCAGCCAAGGTCCTTAATTAAAAAAAAAAAAAATCTACCAAGACCTTTCATGATCCTTGGGGGGGCCTAAGAACAGACCTCTGCAATATGATCCAGTACCTTCAGAGACAGTAGCCTAGTAACATTAGGAAATGTACTTCATAGCAGCTCATTGTTTTAAGATACAGTAATCATATTCAAATTACAGTGTACATTAAATTATAGTCTGTTTACAGTTTGTTTCATATACACAGGCTCTCAGCTTTTGACCAACACATTTGTGAGATTCTGTGGCCAGCTTCATTCTGCCCATCTTTCACTCAACTAAATAAGAAAAAAAAACAGGAAAAAATGTACAAGTTTTGTTTTTTTTTTAACAAAAAATACTATTTTGTGAAGGAAACATTGCACTTTTGCCAACCAAAAATTAATTTGCTATAAAGGAAGTATTGTTCAGTGTAGTAGGCTTTGGTATGCAATGGAAGTCACTTCTTCAGTAGTGAGTTGCAGTTGCTCAGTGAAATGCTAACTGGTTTTTGTGCAACACAGAACAAAGGATGTCCCCGGTGCTCTATGCTACCTCTGTCCTTACAGTATTGCTACGTGTTTGAAGTTCAGCCCATCGCTTTTTAGAGGAAATCCTAAATGTAACAAGAGCGAGTACAGTTTGACCAAACCTTTGTAAGGCTGAGAAGACATCGAGCCACCTCACTCCCCCAGGGCAGCACTCCCAGCTTGAAAGGGGGCCCAAGGGTCCTGTCAGAGACTTGTGCCGGAAACACTGGAGTCTGGAAGAAAAGTATTGATGACCCGGTAGCTCTGAGCTCTGCGAATCATGTCACGGATCTCTATGTTCAGTTCCATTAACTTGGTGCAGATTTCAGTCAGGCTCTGGTTGGAGCCCACCAGTGCATAGGTGCCCGTCTGACCCAGGGTTTGGTGGCGGAAGTAAATATTCAGTAGTGTCTGGACTTCATCATCAGAGCTGCTTCCAAAGATATCATTGGGCCACAAAATCCTGCAATGAAACAGGAAAAGAACAGGTATTTCATTATGGGTTTGTTAACAGAGACAGAAGCTATGTGACAGAGATCTCTAAAAGATGAGTGGATTTGCACATGCTTATAAGCCTGAAGCAACTCTCCGTTTTACGCCACTCATTCGTTATTCATATTCTGGTATCAGGCACTGAATACACAAAAAAGTGCAATTTCCATTATCTAAAAAATGTGCTTAAGAAAATGCATTCAAATAGGTGTAAGTAAAACTGGGCTGAATGTTAGCTCATGTCAATGACATGCACCTGTAAGGAATTAACTCAATAAAAAGATTCTTAAGAACCTCACAGGACTTTTGATCTACAGAATGTAATTAAGCATCTTAATTGTTGCAAGCATATGTTTGATAGTTACTTGTGGCACACCTGTCCGAAAGCCAGTACCTTGGTGAAACAATTAATTAATTATGCTGATCCTGTGCATTACATTTCGCTAGGAAGATAATAAATGCATACTTTTCTAATAACATGAACGCCTAATATGAATGATGTAGTAAAACTTGCCTGCATTCTCTTATTTGTCTGACGGCTTTAACAAGTTCATTGTTTTTCAAACACTCCAGCATGGACTGAATAGCTGCTTCAGTAGAGCTGAATGTGGGCTCAGATTCTGTTGTCAGAGGCTCAGCTGCGATTGCAGCAGTAGCATCCTTCAGATTTTTCTTCAGCTCACTCAGTTCTCTTGACATATTTAACAGCTGTTCCAAGAAGAAAAATGAGAGATGGGTATTTTCATTCTCCATAAGCCCCACACGGAGTAGGTACTTCAGGTTCATCCTTACTATTAAATTGGATGTACATATCATGGAAAAGACCCCAATTTAATACAAGGACATTTCTTGATCTCTGTACAACATAGAGAAAACGTAAACTACAGTTTTTTTTTTTTTACCTTTGTGCATCCTTTAACATTACGCTGTAATTCTGGCTGCTAAAATGCAGGAGCATATCTAATCAAGCTTTTATTTTTCACCCTTGCTACTTTTTTTCACATCATAGTGGAAGAGCTGAAGAAAATGTGCTTCTCCTAGCAAGATGCTGATATTTATTTACAAAATATATGCAGCATCTGACACTATTAACAGATGGATGGGAATTGTATAACCCTTTCTCAGGCTGAAAAGTTAATATGGCACAAAATTCATGGATAATTAGTAAGCTAATAATTTCCAAGGATTTACTTTTTTATGCTCCTATATGCTAAAAATAACCACTGTCACATGAACCAGCAACGGAGTTTCCTTCAAGTAAAAGCTTATGCTCCAGCAAAATATGCAAATGTCACAGTGAAATAACTATTCTTTGTACAATTGTTTCCCAGTTCCATGGGCCACCTTATTAACAGCAATTTAAAAAAGTTATAGCTGTGAAATACAGTTACAGAAATAAATTATACGGAATACAAAATATTTCTAACACTTAGACTGCTCTAGCAGTAGTTAGGTACCTATTGTCCCATCTTCTCTCAGAAGTGAACAGCCCAGTCACATTGTGAGCCAACCTTCACAACATACAATTTATTGAATCCTTAAGATACAATAAATATTCAAACTCTTTTTTACTCCAGCAGTACATCTGATAAAATGATTTCCATTTATAGGCCATCTCTAAACTGCTAGAATATGTCATAAAATACATGTAATAGCTTCAGATTTTATTTTACAAAGCAGAGTACAACAACTGTTTCTCCTCAATAGCTGAAAATACATATATCTTCTTCCTTACCAGGAGAAAAATACACATGGAATGGTAAGTTAAATCTTTCCTTAAATTATAATAATCCATCTTGAAGTGATCACTTCAAAGATGTTTCGAAGTGTTACATATTTTAAGCAACTGCTGAAAATAAACTTGACTAACAGTACTATTCTTCTGAAGTTTTTTTTTTAAGTAAGATACATGGATTAATCTGAAACCAAAAAGCTGTTTGGGTCAAAAGTGAGAGTGTGCCATGCCAAAAATATTTAAAGAAAAAGGCCTGTAAACACTACAAACTAAAAATACAAGACATTAAGGGATTTAGTTGATTATGTATGCCTGCAGATTTATAGTCAGGGTGAAATTGTGTGATCTTTGTTGTTAAGCCCATAGAAAGAAAAAATAAGAACATGAAAATAAAGAGGAATTTTCAGTATAGGACTTTGTAGTTTGTTACATACCTCTGGCATGGAACTCACTTCGTGCACTTGTCCAATAAGTTTACAGTAGGACTGAAAAAGCAACAGCAGCTGGAAGTGCAGTTTATATAATCTCTGACAGAGTTCCAATTGCTAAGGAAAAATTTGTAAGAGAAGAAATAATTAATAAATATTAGTGAGTTTAGATAATTTTTGATATCTAACAACACACATTGAGATAGTTTGTTCTCAAAAAACATTATTTTACTGAAGTATGATCATATGCTATTTTCAGAAAATAAGTAATGATTTTTCTTCTGCATCTAAGTCATATAAGACTTTGAAAATAAAATTATAACAGCTAGCTCTCACGTAGCACATGTCAGCATCAGCCTCAAAACATTCGCTTTTGGTTAGCTTCACTGTCTCCAGTTTGCAGCTGGGAAGAAGAGACAGAATATAGGGGAAGTGACTTTCCTGCACTGAACATGAAACTCCTGAATTTCAGATATGGTCGAAGACCTCTTCTAAGGGATGGAAATCTAAGAGAGAAGTTGTGAAACAGTTGTCCAAGATGGTCAAAGCTCCTGCCTGCTCCTCTGAGGAGACAGAAACAGAGGTGATAAATCTGTCTAGGAGTGAGAAGGAGGAAATGCCAGCCCTGGAACTTAAAACTCTGCTCAGGGATTTTCCA